GGCATCAACCATCACCCTGGGCCACTGTAATTTTTCCGGTAATCGCGCAACCAATGGCGGGGCTATATACAATACCGGCAATACTCATATCTCTATAGACAAAGGCGTCTTCAGCACCAATATAGCAACCGCTGCCGGAGGTGTTATCCACCAGGACACAGGAACAGTAACGCTTAATCAATCCCGCTTCACCAGCAATACAGCCAATACCGGAGGCGTGTTCTACCTTACCGGAACTGCCAGGTTAAAAGCCAATGCCGCTGTATTCCACGAAAACTACAGTGCCGCTGACGGTGGTGTTCTCCGGATGAATAATCTGGCGGACGATACCGTTTATAACAGCCTGTTCATTCACAACCGCGCTGGTGGTGATGGCGCCTCCATCTATACGATGCAGGCCAACAAATACTTCGGCAGCAATACTTTTTATGGAGATACGGCTACCGGCGGTACCCATGCCACGGCTTTTGTAAATGCGGATAATGTTGTGGTGAACAGCATCTTTTATAAGACAAGCCATGAGATCTCCGGTACTTATGCCGGCGGCTTCAACAGCGACAATAATACCAACCCCTTATTCATCAATGAGACAAACCCCGCTGGTGCAGACGGTATACCCGGCACGGTTGATGATGGCCTGCGGATACTGAATAACAGCCCGGTTAAAGATGCAGGTACCAATGCTTATGTACCTGCGGGTAACACAACAGACATTACCGGCAGGCAGCGTATCCGGAATGGTGTGGTAGACCGCGGTGCTTATGAAGGGGCCGTTTATGCGCAACACGTGCTTTATGTAGACCAATACAAAAGCGGGAACGGCAGCAGCTGGGGCAATGCGCTCAGGTACTTGTCTGATGCCTTTAACCTGGCCAATCAGTACAACAATATTGACAGCATCCTCGTGGCCGGCGGATCCTATTACCCGACAGGCAACGTATTGGGCAGTAACAGGGATACGGCCTTTGCCCTGTTCCGCGGCGGGATCAAGATACTGGGCGGTTACCCGGCAGGAGGTGGCCTGCGCAACCCCTCGGCCAACGAATCCGTTATGGATGGCCGCATCTTCGGCGCTTCAGACTATAGCCTGCACATACTGGTGCTGGCGGGTATCACTGCTATAGAAGACAGCATCCTGATCGATGGCTTTGTTATTCAGAATGGCGGGGCCTGGCGCGCAGGAGGAAGTACTACTTCTTATAACGGGCAATCTGTCTCTATGCTGGATGCAGCAGGTGTCAGCTTCCTTTCCGTTGCCAATGGCCCTAAAACAACGCTCTCCAATTGTACCATCCGCAACTGCTTTGCCAATAATAAAGGCGGAGGCATCTATATGTACCAGTCGTCTCCTGCCATTATCAATTGTAACATGACGGGCGATAGCTCCTATGCCCGGGGGGGCGCTGTCTATTGTGAAAACAGCAATCCCCTGTTCAGCCATACAACCATTAATAATTGTTACAGCCCTAATGGCGGCGCATTCTTTAACTATATTTCCTCACCCACGATCCGGTCATGCACGATAAGCAACAACAGGGCCAGCATAGGCGGCGGTATGTCTAATGATGGCAATTCATTTCCCGTCATTGACAGCAGCCTGTTCAGCGGCAATACGGTTACCTTATGGGGCGGGGCTATATCCAACTGGATCGTGAGCGTTGGCACCCAGGCACCGGCAACCGTAGTAACCAATAGTCGCTTTACCGGCAACAAAGCGGGCAGGCAGGGTGGCGCAGTTTATAACAGTGCGCCCATGGAAAAGGCATCAACCCCTTCTTTCCGGAACTGCATGTTTACGGGCAATATTGCCGGCGTTGGTGGTGCGCTTTTTAACAACGCATCTTCCATACCGGTATTGGAGCACAATACATTTATT